ATGACCTACGAGTCTGTGGTCACCGGGTTCTTCCCCTTCTTCCTGGTCGCCACCGTCATCCATCTCTTCTACCGCGGACGGCTCTGGAACATCCTGCTCTTTTTATTGACGGTGCAGCTGGTCGGGATGGTGAAGGCCACCTACGCCTGTTTCCTGCGCGGCAGCCTGGTCATGATCTTCATGTCGCTCTACTCTCTGGTCTACATGTCCAGCTTGCTCCCTGCCAAAATATTTGCCCTGCTCACCATCAACAAGGCGGGATGGGGCACCTCAGGGCGCAGGAAGATCGTTGTCAATCTCATTGGCGCCGTGCCCGTCACAGTGTGGGCGATGGTGCTGCTCGGAGGTGTGGTGTACACCGTCTACTGCGAAACACAGGAGCCATTCAGTGAGACAGAGAAAGCCTTGTTGATAACAGGGACGATACTCTACGCCTGCTACTGGATCATTCTGCTGGTGCTCTACCTCGCCATCGTAGCCAAACGCTGCAACAAGAGGGAGGAGCAGTATCACCTGCCGTACGCGGAGGCATAAACCCTTTACCCAGAGAGACTGGTGGGACCTCCGCACCACATTTCACTGCAGTGTGATCCCAGTGAGGTCACGTCGACCCCGTGCACTGCTGGAGCGATGAGCTGTGGACCAGCCACCGTCACAGCTTCATCACTGGTGCTAAAAAGGTGTGAATCTCAAATCTGAGCAGCAGGAATCGAATCGATTGGTGGGAGACGGAGAGATGATGCACAGAGCGCTCCCACTCATATCATCCTCAATGGTGCTTCACTTTAAAAAAAAAAAAAAACCAAACGGACCTGAACCAGGTTATAAAGTGATCATACAATGCTCAGAAGAACATGTATGGGTGCAGGTTACCTGTGATAGCAACCGAAGTGTGAAGCGTGGTGCTTTTAATAAATATAAAGCAGGACAACGGACAAAATAAGAGACAAAGAGGTTTTAGTTACTAGTTTTAATGTTCTTCATTTTAGAGAAGATGGAATAAAATGTAATAGAGCCACATTATAAACACAATAAGTTCTCTTAGATTAGTCCAGCAGCTCTTTCCCTGATGGGATGATGGAACGTTCAGGCGTTGGCGTAGAGCCGGAAAGAGGATAAAGTTTAAAGTCGCTGCGGAACCGAGATCTGGTTTAGCGTAAATTAATAGATGTGGATTTTTCTCTCGAGGCAAACTTGTGTTGGTTTAAGTTAAAAACATATTAAATGTACTTCATGACAAATCTTCACAAAACTACAGAGATGATCGGAGAGAAGAAAGAACTGAAGGCAAATATCGAGTTCAGGTTTTTACTGATAAAAGCAATATTCTGCATTGAAAGAGGCGGTGAGCGTTCTGTTGGAATTACTCAGCAGCTAAAGTAATGAGTTACACTTCTCATCACTTTCATATCTCACATGTGGCTTCCTTTATATATATCACATGTCTGGAAACAGAAAGTGACGAGGAATGATGACGGAAACCCATTTTCACCAGTTACTGTAAAGAAAGATGTAAAACGATGCTCCTCCGCTTCCTCCCAGAGCCAGAACATCCAGGATTCGAGCCCCGGAGGCATCACTTGAAAACCGAGTCTGTGCCGATACTCGTCCGATCGATAGTTTTCATCTTCTGCTCAAATAAATCGCATCATTCTGCGTCACCGTCGAATCCAGTTTCCACTTCCTGCTGCTGTCAAAAAAAATGAAGCCAAAATATCTTACACATGGGCGCTGCCATTTTGCTCTAGTGATGTCATTTGTAGCCAGTGTCTGTGCCGGAGCGGAGGCCACGGTTTAGAGGGCGCGTTGTTACGTGAGTCAGTCTCAGCTGTCAATCATGACGCATCACCACGTGCTAATATCAAATCCATCGCTGAGAAACATTTATTTGTACTTGTACGACTTTTTATTTTAACAACAAGATGGTTCGGCTTCACTTTTGGGAGCCGTTGTGTCGGCCATCTTTATTTACAGTCCGTGATTTTATCGTACATGCAGACATGCAAGTGTGAGACGTTCTGTCACTTCCTGGAGGCGTCGTGTAAAAACCTCCATCAGCCGTGAACAGCACAATCATCACCGTGTTTTCGTGGAGCAGCTGGGATTCACCCGACCAGACAATCTGAAACGTTTCCATGTGACCTGCAGGGGTATTTTTGGTGCTGTTGAGCAGTGTCAAACCTGTAACTTATTGCCGTTCAGGCGTGGTCATCTTTCAGTTCACCAGAGGGGGGCGTAGTTTCATTCTAGCGAATTTGTCGTAACTGTATATGGTTGTTTTATATATTGTAAAGTTGCCAAATTCTGTTTCTGTGACAGTAAAGTTTTACTACTGGACTCTGTCGTCTCAGCTGGACGTTTGTACGAGCAGACTTCGTTCATTCATCGCATCAACACGAGTAAAGACTGAAAACCAAAGACGAGAGATTTGATTCCACTGTTTTTACGATGTTTTTATTATTTACCTTCACCAAACCAGTTATTTATCATCAGCGTTTGTTTGTTTGTTTGTTTGTTTGTTCTTCGGCAGGATTAGGGCTCAGTCACACACACATGAAGCTGAAACTCGCCACAGGAAGTTTTGTTCCTCGCTCGCACAGATCAGAAGCAAAGAGAAGCTGAAGGTTCATCTCGGAAAAATTCACGTATGTGTGACCAGGCCTTTGTGCACAAGGACGCTGGAAGTAGGGCTGCAGCACCCCCTGCTGACACGTGTCTGTATGACGTCTGTGAGTTTTATCTGATTTTACATCAAACTCCGTTTTTAAAAAAATCCAACGTGCGAGCAGCATCAGCGTTAACGTCTGTGGACATTTCCTGAATTTGTGCCATTAAATAACTTTGACTTTGAGCGGGATGTGTACGTTTAAACTTGAACTCTTCTCGAGGAAACACACTGTGCATTAAAAGTTCATCGAGCAGCGAAGCCACAGATCACGTGTCTTGATTTCCTGCTTTTCTCTCTGTGTATCACAGGATATTGGAATTTTCCTAAGTCATTAAAAATGCATTCTGTTTCAGACACAATCCGCCCATTCATGCCAAACACTGATTTAAATTTCAACGGCTGCATTGACATTTCTCCTAAAGCTAAAGATATCTTAAGTTCACTACTTCATAGTTCATTTACAGAAATACATTTTCAAGAGTTAATGGGACCAGAACATCAGTGTTTCACCATTTTAAAATAGTTTCAGGTTTGAATCAGTTTCCGTTGTGAAGATGCTGAGGAACCGAAGTGAGAAGCTTGAACAAGACGAAACTGTTACAAGATTTAATTTGAGCACAAATACAGTTTTCTTTTTACAACCATTGGTGCAGCTGAGGCCAGTTTGTCAGGAATAAATCCCCCTTGTACTTGTACAAGTACTTCCTAGTTTATTATGAATCTGAACGACACGAGAACAAGATCTTTCACCGGTGAAACAATACTTTTATACCAAACTGAAAATAATCTCTTCTTTTGGCCGAGGATTTAGTTCATGTTTTCACCTCCGTCCCTTAGTTGATTTGTTTAACAGCAGGTTATAAAGAAACTTTTGAAAGTTTTACAGGAAACTTAGAGGAAGAATGGGACTTTTTTTTAATTATCACTCGTGAGATAAGGCAGTTTTTCAGTGTTTTACTTTTCCCAGGGAATAAAACATCCAACATGGTTAGAGGAGCGATATCTAGAATGTGAATTTGTGCAATTTGTTTCTGATCCAAATAAAAATCCAGATTAAGAGGTAAAATAAAATAAAAAATCTGGATCTGACAGAATGAATGATGTCTTATAAAGAGGCAGTTAAACCTGAGCTGATGTAATCTGTCAGGGGACTGTTGGGCCTGAGCGGAGGTTTGTGTTTTACTGACTGGAATCAAACCTGGGCGGTTATAAATAAATGCTGGGAATCTTAACCACTGGGCCACCGCACACACGCCAGTCAACCGTTCACCTGAGGCTCAGCGTGAAGTCTGTGTGATGTGTGTAGATATTTGGACGTGTGATGAAACGTGTGTCACTTCTGCTGCCTGGTGAACTTAAACACTCTTGTTTCCCAGCAGCGGAACATGAACGTGCTTTTATTTGATCTGAGTGAAGACGTCTTTACAGAAGCTGTGAATGAAAACCAACATTATGTCACCGAGGTCAGTGAAACACACGAGTCACTGTTCCACCGGTGATGACTGAGCGTTTAACAACGTGCTTCTAGGTTTGACTTTAAAAACACGTAGGCAGCTCCAGAGTGTGAGTGTGTGTGTGTGTGTGTGTGTGTGTGCGCAGCAGCTCAGTGAATCACTTCATTTACTCTCCAAGAAAACTTGCCCACGTCGAGTGTTTCACCTCGCCGTGGGCGTCGCCCTCCTCCAAACAAAAACACACACGCTGTGAAAGTTTCTGGAGGCAACAAGACTGCGTCAGTTTGTTCAAACCTTTCCAACAAAACCTTCTTTGAGCCGTTCAGTCTCATTAAATACCCTGAAGGGAACAATGTGCTGCTCTGAGACCTGATTTATTTTCAGGTGATGGAAACCAGGAAGGTGATTCGGATGTTTTCAGACTCATTTGAAGGACGATTAGATTCATATGTTGTTTTCTTTAACGTCACTCAGAACAATATAGTTTGAATCCTCAGATATCGTTGAGTGACAGAATGGAACATTATCATCATTATTATTATTAAGTGACTCTTGTAATGTAGAGGGACGATGGTCCACACAGCAGCCTGAGGTTTACCTCCCCTCACTGTGCTGCAGTGATCCAACGATCCAACCGTCAGAAACTTTCACTCGTCTTCTCTGGAAACAGCAGAAACGAGCGTGAGCAGCATCTGTAGGTGAGACAGACGAATGTTCCTGACTCGATGGTGTCTTTAAGAAGGTTCACACTGGTTCTATGTTTTTTTGTTGTTTTTATATTTTTCCATTCTAAAAGTTCAAATGGATGAAACAAAAAATAAATGAAAATATAACCTCAGTATCAGTAATAACTGATAAATATCAATTCCTCCACAGAATTCTTTATTTTACTACAATTTTATTCAGAATATTATTTTTTTCAAAATGCAAAAACCTTTGAAACAGCATTTGGTTCATAGGTTTTTCCAGAAGAATCTCAGGAAAACTTGTGAGAGTCTCTTTGTCTCTCGTTGGAATCAGGTCAAAGATTCGACAGCAGTGATCAACATAAGGTTCAGTGGGTCGGGTTTGTTGACCTCTGACCACGTGAGTCGCTCTACACCTTCTTGGGCACATTCGTGATGATGGGTTTGGGGCGAGTCTTAAAGATCAGCTTCCGTTTGATGATGGCCGACACGTAGTAAGACTTGGAGGTGGAGCCCGGCTGGTCCGTTTCCATAGGAACCTGTGTGACATCATCGTCGTTGGTGTCTCGGGCGTCCTGCTCGTGGTCGGAACGCTTGGTGAGGACGGCAAAATGTTTCTCCAGTTTGACCTGCTTCCCGTACAGGATGTGATGTCCTACAATCAGCACTGGCACCCCCTGGTGGAGAGAGGAACACAGAACTGTTAGAGTAAAATGATTCTGTTCCATCAGGGGGTAAAAACTCCGACATGTTCAGACTTCACAAGAGTTGGAAACCAAACACAGACATGTAGAACTACTGCAATCGATTCTTTTCATTTCCCATTGGTTTATCTATCGTGTGAGAAACGAGATTTCAGAAAATCCTCAAGCTAGAAGCAGAAATTTGTCCAGTTTAGCATCTGTAAACATTGTAAATTTTATTTCCTTGACCTCTTTGGTGTAGAGCAGGTCTCCCATCACATTTCCTGCCAGGCCGGAGTTGTGTCTGGACACCACCTCTCCCTGAAGCTCCACCAGCAGCCACTCCGGAGAACTGCTGCCATCCACACTGCCTCTGAAAGAGCGCGCACGCACACACACACACACGCACACACACAGTTTCACGACAGCAGACTCGTGTAAATGTGGGAACAACATGTTTTAAACAAGGTTTAAAACTTCATCATGACAATAATCAATAAAACATAGATTCTTCTCTCAAATCTGACCAGTTGAGTGATGAAGGACAAGAACAATGAAGATACTACAAACAATTACTCTTCCAAACTCAACAGACTTTTTAAAAAGGTCAAAGTCACAGATGTGAGGAAACTATACATTTACATCTGTAAACGTTTTTTTTAATCATTTCCATATTTAACCAAGTTTGTTTTCTTATTATCTATTTTTTTTAAATCTTCCTATTTTTGC